ATGTCAATATATGAAAGATAATTATTTTTTTCAAGGGAAATATGAAATCTCGAGTTAACAACCCAAATGAATAATATCAAAGTATCATTTACCGTAAATTGTCTTTTGAAAAACAAATCATTGTCTCTTCAATAGCCTCACACTGCAGTGATTTGACTGCAGGAACACAGGGCAGCTGGTGGTGATTTCGTGGCTGTGAGGGTTCAACGCCGCTTTGACAGTAGCTTGATGTGGGAGGAAAGTCCGAAGTGATGCAATATTCCAGCTATATGACGACGGTCAGTAAATAATCGAGTCTGGACCAGACAATCCAGTGATTGACATCATGAGCATCGATCCACGCAATTGGGATACGATGACATGCATCAACCAAGTCAGCAAGCCTGACCACCCGACAAGCCTGTGTTGCTAAAGACCAAAACTAACCCGGAGCTTCACGGGTCACTACTTTGATGAAACCCATGAATAGATAAGGTGCTGACAAATCTAGAACCATATATAACCAGAGGGAACAGACTTTCCAACCACTAGGTGCATTTTCGGCACAATGTAGGTCTGCGTCGAGATTACTTGTGAACATTAAATAGACACTTAATGGAAAACCTCGGGCTTCTGCGAATGATAATGCCCTGAAAAATAGCGTTACCCTTATAATAACGTATTATCTAAATCTGAATACAAAATATGCATACTGTTAAATCCGTCGCATTAACAAATCATTCAGTAGGTTCTTTAAGATATTTATTCAGGAATGGTAATATATATGAACGTGACATTCACCATGCCTGATCAGCGTGCAGTGTGAACGGCGCACGTGAAGAAAAGGGAGTTACCTCCCCTAGACCACTACACGTGCCCACAGAAAAGACGCCACATAAATTTTAACTTAACGTCCCACATACCTTCGGGCACGCACATGCGTCCAATGATTGACCCACAACGCACGTGTTTTATTATGAGGGCTCTGTAATCATGTTGAACTCTGTCCTCAATAGATTTAGCGTTGGCACTAGGACATTGCAACCCTCCGCTGGCAGTCGCCATGTTCCGCCACTTGTGTGACAAAGTCTGAAATTAATACCTGGTAGAACTATATGTTGTTTGTACCGTTAAAAATACCGCTTTGAAAAATATACGTACTCAATTATAGTTCAAATAGTTAACATACAAATTCATAGCAGGGCCACACACAGATGTGTGTACCGTACGCGGTATCTATTTCAAATATTATCACCAGTCCAACTTGATGTTTTTTCACAGTACCTTTGGTTGCAGAAGAACAACACACCTGATCTGGTGTAGTCTTTTTAACCCCGTCGAACTGAGGAATATGATCACGAATTCACAGAATATCGCTCGGGTGACGTCAAGCTAATCTTAGTCTCGGGGAAAACCTAGTTTCTGCATTTGGATGCGTTTGAGCGATACCGTACCAAATAACATGTTCCCGAAACAAGGGAGCTAACTGACTGTAAAAAGTCCAGTTTCCAGGTGGAAGTTGGACTTTTACCGTCAGTTAACTCCCTTGCCTCGGGAGATGAAACCTAATGGTTAGCATAAACCAACGCACGAAATTATCCAGCGAAATGTAGCTGTAGAAAATACAGATACAAGACAGAAGGATACAATGCCAACTAGAATGAGATCCATGAGTACACTGTGGTCTGTTCGATTTCCCACACGGGTACAATATGTTATGGCCGGTGCCCCCCGCCGTGGTATTTCTAGGCTATTGTTCACTCATTTCAGCGTAGTTAATAGTTGGTGTACATCATTTAACTCATCAGCATTTAGTGCATCTGAAGAGTGTGAAACGGTCTCGAAAATATGTTAATGTTCTAAACATCCTATAACCTATGACAAGGATTCTGAAGATGTCCTATGTCGTGTGTAACTGCATTTAGGTATAGCATTCATATTTAGTTAATTTATAAATAGTTAAAAAAAATAGTTTCGTGGTTTTTTTCGGAATCTTTATGCATAAATATAATACCTACTCGTGTCACGCGATTCCTATATTTTTTCCAAGGGAAAATTGCTTTAAATTTCGCATAAAACTGTTTTGTGGTATGCCAAGATATAGCACAACATATAACGACGACATGCACAAATATTGCACAATCCGTATGGCTTGTATCACAAGCTGAGGTGAGGTGAGATGGGGTTTAACGTCGCGTCCAAGATTATTGCACTTACATAGCGACGTGCATGCACGTGTATGTGTGTGTGTGGCTGCTTGTACTAGTCCGGACTGATGCCGATTTATAGTGCTAGCACACTGAGATACCATGCCGCAGTTTAACATGAATACCCCACTCAGACACAGTATACTGACTCCGAGCTGACCAGTCCTTGTTTTAGCCCCTTAATACCATCTTTTAACGTCTTTTGGTATGACGCGGCCAGGGATAGAACCCTGGACCTTCCGCTCTCCGGGCGGACGCTCTACCTCTAGACCACGGAGGCGGTTTTGTATCACAAGGAATACTATATGTAGTGTATATGACAATTACATACGTACTTGGAAAGTATTCTACTACGCCTACCTGTACATTAAGTAATCATGTTTCATTCTGTTGAAAAAAAGGAAACTGCTTGCCACAAAAATTACATTTCTGTAAGGTGTTATTCTCTTTAAAAAAAACAGGCCCATGCCTTGAAGTTAAAAAGGATCTGGTTTTGTAGCTGTAGCTAAAAATATACCTGAGCTCGATACAAAGTCCCAGGCCATCCCGACATTATCAAATGGTCGGTCCCGACATGCCGGTGTTCTAGTAACATATCATCTACAGTATCTAGCGTCTAAGTTGAACTGTGTCTCATTGCATGATACTTGGCAACGCTCAACTCGCTGTACACTGATGTCAACAATAGGTGTGAACAGTGTTTGAAATAAGCGCCTGCCCGTAAGCCCGTTGGTCCTTATATTATGGCCTGCTGTAAATTTACATGTCGATTTATTTATCACAATAAGCTGTAATTTATTAAATAAGGGCCTGAAGAGTTTAGTGTGCAGCTTCTAATGTTTGTGGGTCCTAATCGCAGTCCTGGATTTTTTTTATTGATTTGAAACACAAGGTGTTAAGCACGTCAGCATTCATCTAGTATCACTTCGTAGTGTGACGGGGGCACGGGTGGCCCAGTCGTCTAAGGCGCCGCGATTCGCTGTGCAGAGTTGCGTCCCTTGGGCACGCCAGAAACCTATGATTGTGGGTTCGAATCCCGGTTCGCCCCAATTATGTTTCTAGGTTTGTCAGCACCATACCCGTGCTCGTGGGTTTCACCGAAGTGGTAAACGTCTGAGACCTGCATCACTTCGGGCTTTCCTCCCACATTAAGCTGACACGCCGTGATATAACTGGAATACTGTTAAAAGCGGCGTTAAACCCAACTCACTCACTCACTCACTCATGAAGTATGAACCCACAATACTGGACATCTGACCCGTGAAGGTCCGGGGTAGAATAGGTCTTCAGAAAACATTGTTGCCGTAAGAGGGGTCACTAATTATCGTAAGAGGCGACTAACGGGATCGGGTGGTAAGGCTCGCTGACTTGGTTAATGCATGTCATCTTATCCCAATTGTGTAGATCGATGCTCATGATGTCAATCACTGGATCGTCGGGTCGTGATTCGATTATTTATAGACCGCCGTCATACAGCTGGAATATCGATGAGTGCCGCGTTAAAAATAAACAATTAATACTGGATATCCAGTGAATAACATATTTTCTTTGGTGCAATGTCTTCTAAATCCAAGCACGCCGATTACCATAGTGGGACCGACACACCGCTCCTTCCCAGATGTATGTAAGGCAACTTGGCCCTCTCTCCTAAATCTGCCCTTGTCTGTATAAAGTCTATACCTTTACAATACAGTCATACTGTATCCTTAGGTTTCACAAAAATTAGGCCATGAGACAGTTAACTTTGGTAAATAGTACACATTGTGGAGCAATATCTTGTGAAGGGGGAATCGGTTTTTGGAGTGGTGAATAAATTATGAAACAAAATTGTGTAATCACTAAAACTACTTAATTTGTTATAGCTAATAAAATATAGATACATAAAAACAAACGAAGATACATGCAGCAAATACCAAACTTTCCACCCAATATCGTGACACCTAAACCCATTTCAGTATAACCGGGCTAATTTCCGTAAGTAACGAGTTTTTTTCCGTTTTTCAACACTAACAGTTGGGTTTTTCACAGAAAACGTTTCAGAAACATGAGCGTGTTGCATACACGCAGCCATCTTGAACATCTTGAAAGCGAAAGTGAAAATCAATATCTGTCATGTGTTATATCAATGATAGTCAAACACAATTTGAAAATACGTTGCACTCGTGAAATATTGTCTTAATAGAAATATTGTCATTACATAATGCATAATGTTACTTGGAATATTGTTCACCTATCTTCCGGTACTCCCATACGCCCAATGATAGAACCGCAACGCAGGATTTTTCAGTTACTTTCAAGTCTGTGCATGTATACATGTTGTACCATACACTCGACGGATTGCAACCACATACCTTCCGCCACTGTTGCCATAGTTACGGATGAGGATCCGGACAATCATGTGGTAATCTCTGAACAGGGAACCCTGATATAACACTGATGGGGTTAAACTTTATAAAAAAATCTTCTGTGCAGTGATGGGCTATGAACAAAACATTGAGAAATTAATGACCGCCACGGTCCCGACAATATCAAACCGCTACCGAACAATGTACCTTCATCGTAACCCTATTTATTGACCATGGTGTATTTTAAGATTCTTGGAAATCTACTAGGCGTTTAGGCGATACTGAGTTTGTTCGAGTAACTGCTATCTTCAGCATTCTTCAAATGATGCTAAATTTCACAGTAGTTCATTGTAGATATCACTCTTGCCTGGGGCGTGTCAGCCGAGCGGGCCCACTGTGTAATTGTCCAATCACGCGACAGTATAACGGAATTCCCACAATGCTATAATTAGACCTCAACCTGGGCAGGCAGTTGACGTGGACCTATATTGAGAGAAGACGGCCACAGATACCCATGACAGCTACTGGAGTGCTTGTATCCGTAATGGAGGGTCCTATACTGATCATGTTGTCAGAAGATTAGGGGGTGATTCTGTTGTGGAATGGCGGAAGGAAGCGTGGATCCGTTGCATGGCAACAGTGCTGTCGACATCAAGTTCATGGTAGAGAATGTTTATCGTGATGCCATCATTCGGCAGGTTCGATGTGGATCTTTCATTGCACACATGTGTTTCCCTCAGAGTAAGTGTTTCTTTTTTCTTGTTGTTTTTATCTTAATAATGTAATTTGATACTGACATGAGGACATTGAGTTATGTTAACGCCGCGGCGAAATACAATCCTACTTTCGGTTTCGTTTCACTGAAATTAAGTATTTAAAGACTGCCGACGTACATAGAAGTGTTGAACTATTTATCAGTCTTAGTGTTTGTTTGTTTGTTTGTGTGTGTGTGTGTGTGTGAGTGAGTGAGTGAGTGAGTGTCTTTCGGTTCGTGTCAAACCATCAACGTGATTATTGTGAACGTGCCCTTCCTGTTAACACGACGTCGTTGTGTTAGTGGCAATAGCACATTAAAAATAACTGTAGATAGTACTATTCTGTTACCAAGTGCAATGTTGCCTTTCCACTTTTCATATGAAGGCAGAACGACACATCTACTTGCAGAATAGCATGCATCAGAATTTGAAACATTCACCTTGAATCCATAGATACAAGCTCGTCATTTTCAGATTGAAACAAATAAGGAACTTCCCACAAAAAGATAATGAAGATCTCATTTCTGATTCTACCACGAATTTGGGAAATACTCGATTCTTAGTGGTCAATCAGAGGTATCAAATGACAATAACGATCTGATTGAAACAGCCGATTTGATTTGACAACATCACCGCAGTTCTTCTTGCTCAGTCATTGTCGGTAGGCGTTTGTAAACAATTATATTTACAATTATAGGCAATACTATGCACATCTGGAGTAGCTACAATATACAAAGTTTTGTGAAGAAAACACGATAAATATAAAGTTTTGAGGACAAAAAGTTTCAAATTTGGCGCTTTTCTACAGCTGACGTCATATTTTATGCGTCACATTGACAATTTAAAATATACGTGCAGTGTCGAACAAAATATTACAAGTTTTGCTTGCTCTTCTTTAGGGGTGCCCACTTCATGCTGGCTTACGAAGTGTATGGGCGACTGAAGCACATTGATTTGAAAAAAGCATATAATGCGCTAAATCTGTGCTACTAACGGTGTTTCCTGCATTGAAATAGACAACCCAAGACCCATGCCGCTTCACTCATTTTCTTCCATAACACCAACGAGTTTGCGTGTAATTTTGTCTTTTCAGTAGAACGGAAACAAATGTACTGCGTTTTGAAATGTAGAGCTGTGTTACTTGTTTATTGAACGGGACAATATTCTACATTTGAAATAAGCGCTACGCCTTCGGTTTCAAATTATCTCCTAATTAAGTCATCAAGCAGCTAGACTCACAAATGTAAACAGCAAAATTCATATTTTATATCAGTTAATTTGAAACAATCAAATGATGCCAATATATACAAATACCCTTATTGAAAACGATCGTCCACGGTACAAAACAACGCCAACACATAATAGTATATGGTATAAAATACCAACAGAATATCTATAATATTCAATTTAGAAGTTTCTAATGTTAATTCAAAATCTGTACATGTATATATTCAAGCACGTGACAGTGATGTGTAATATTTTTAACAACCAACATATTTTGATTCAGAGCTCAAAACTTTGAAATAGGACGTATAGCGGTCGTCAATGGCAAGATAAACGCGAATCCGTTTACGTGCCCCCGTCGTATGGCAGGAGTACTACTGCTGTGCTGCGTTTGACAACAAAAAACACTTACGTGTTTATGTAAATGTAGTGGTTGCTGCAAGTCCCCCCGGGCATACTGACACCTTTTCGCGAACACCTGGTGTCTTCGCTGTTTTTTCTGTTACGACCGAAGAAGTTTCTGTTTCTGGTTGAATCTGATGTTTTTCTTGAAAGTCCCTCGACATATTATAATTTTCAACACTTTTAGATTTAAACGACGAAGAACATGTATAAAACCCCATGGCTACTTTTAATTTAATCTGTTATATGCGCCAGGCAAGACAGAGAACATCAGAGCGATTTTATCCAAAGAAAACCACCATCAACAAATGAAAGCCACAGAACTCTTTCTGGACTACCTCAAAGATGGCAAAGAACCAAAGGACTATCTTCTCTTCGTCCAGCTGCTGGAGGAAAATGGTAAGCTTAAGTTGTATGTTTCCATGTTTCAAATCCAACGTTTTATTGCATTAGCAAGGAAACACCACCTAATATAAGATAGCTTTGCGATGAATCGCAAAGGACAATGAAGAACGAATTGTGGTTTATTTCACGAAACAACACTGTTCTATCATGACGTGTTTCTGGAGATTCGAACATGCGCTTGCAACTTAATGACGTCGTATATTGGACTACGTTATTGTTGAGAGAGGAGTGTCTGGTGAGTTTTTCTGCATAGATGTAGCTGGGCAACGCAGATAAACGCGAAGGCCGAACGATCGCATCCAAAAGCGGGAGAGATATGACAATTGGTATTTGGAGACACGTTACAGGTAATCGACGTGAGGATTGTGAGAATATGCGGGAAATATCCACCTGTCCATAAAATGGACTTGTCCGACATTGCCGAGGCCGAATTCTATGGAGGAGTTATCATAATTATAAAAGAGGTAGATATTCTTAAAGCTTTACATTTTATCATCCAACTTAAAGAGGACGTACATAATGTTGATTTATCATATAAGACATACTAGTAAACGGCTAATGGTCGTTGTTTTTAACATACGATAAACAACTCCCACTCGTCGTTTAATACTTAAATAATATTAGTGGACACCGGTGGCTCAGTCATCATGGCAAATTGCTGTGCACTTTCCCTCCCGTGGATGTTATTTTCGTGGGTTCGAATCTCAGCTTCGCTCTGATTATGCCCCTCAGTTTGTTTAGGGGCCCGGTCCGCCTGTGTGAAACGTGGTGATGACTTGGACTGCACCGCCTCGGGAGTTTCTCAGACACCATTACAACTTGCTGTGATGTAAATGAAATACTGTAAACACAATTCACTCACTATAATATCAATCGACATTTCTGAAGAAATGACCGAGGTTAAGCTGTTCAACTTTCCGAAACAAGTTACGGGGGCGTCAGACACCTGGACTACGTTGTTTTTAGAAACGATCAATTCCACCGTGTAACGTATCGCCGTGTACTGCGATAAGTATCGTATCTCAACTTATCTGGATATATCGTGTTGCGTATCGAATCGACGACCATGAATATTGGTATACATGTGTACGCTGTATTATATCGGACCAATCATGACGCGTTTCGTATCGCATCTGGTGGGCAATATTCATGATATTCGTCGTAAATCCATTCCAGAATAGGTATATCGCGATACGATAGGTAGCCTCTAGATATTCTAATCATTTGAATTCCTTATGGTACATGATGTAACATTCCTTTAAATCTATTCGTTTCGTGAGTAAAGGTTGTAGATTTTGTAAAGTTCATTTATTTACTCTGTTCCATCCTAAGATCCATTTATTTAAAAAATACAAATTTAAGGGCTGAGTAATTTTTATTTTCAGTAATGGTTCAATCGCATGTGAGGGACCGACCATTCTGGTCGGGCCCTACGAGGTATATGAACAGGTACACGTCAGTCACTGTTGTTGTTTATCATTTCACAATGAATGTTTAAGATGAACGCCCAGGGCGATCGAGCGACTAGCAGACGCTTTAAAACACATGATACCTATGGGAGCGTCTGCTTGTCACTCGATCACCCTAGGTTAGAATCCCTTTGGCGACGTTCCCCGTCAAGATGTGGTAGTATTTGATAAGTAATTAAATAAGAAATGTATATGTGTTTAGAGTATGACTCCATAGCCAAAGTGCTTAGAGGAGAGAGTACTCTTGATGGAGAAACTCACAAGGAGCAGCTTAGACTTATCAAGTTCTTCTCCGAGGACATCAGTAAAGAGATAGATTTCAACGTAATGTTTCCAAAACTCTTGGAGGATGATTGGTTGGGTAGGTATTCACTGACTTTTCCATGCAAATTGTGTGAGTAATAAATGCTGCCTGTGGGACGGGGTATGCTTGCCGTCTTGTATTTGTAATTTTCACAAATGTTTTGCCAATGGAACGGGCAGATAATCCAGATTAATTATTCGCTGGCGTTGACGTTTTATATTAAGTGACATCGAATGGGTTTATGTGTTCCGAGTTGAATGTAATGTTTTACTGGGAAGTTCCTTGACGTATTACCATTTTCATATTTACTGATATTTCGAAAGCAGAGGAACTGTGAACATCTTTTATAAAACCCTATGGCTACGTTTAATTTAATCTGTAATATGAGCTGGGCAAAACAGAGGAAATCCATAATCAACAAATGGAATCTACAAAAATCTTTCTAAGCCACCTGTCAATGTTTCACTGCATATAAGATGTATTCGATTTCGACCACATTAGGCATTGGCGTTTTTATTCACATTTCACTGAATGTTGAAGATTCTGTACGACCTTCGACCTTCTTCTTCCTATGGGATAAAGCTTCCATTTGTCACTCAAACGGCCTTGGTTTCAATCCCATTGGTGAATGGATCAGAACGAGAATCGGACATAATTTTGATATCCCAGTTATATGTGTGCCGTGTGTGAATGATGTTTCGGTAATATCATGTGTAAAGGATGCTTTAGCTTGTGAAAGCAGCGAATCAGTGAAAACGTTCAATTAGTGGTTGATGTATAACTGTAGCCAGTAACCAGAACACAGATGCTGTAGATTATCATCATCTATTATGTAGACGACGAAGACAGTCAATTGCTCCAAAGCTTGGCTAAAAACACTGGGAGGATCCCTGCTGCCAGGTGGCTGGTCCTGGTGGTTCTGCCTCGCCGGAAGGAGAACTGGTTCAAGCTGTTCCTCCAGCTGCTAGCGGACCACGGGTACCAGGAGCTGGTTGACTGGATCCATGGAGACTCAACTGAAGGTAGCCTGACCGAGTTTGCAGCTCAAATGGAAAAGCAGATACAGTTACATGCTAACCTCTGACAACGTTTGCAAAATTAGCTATTTAATTCACGTATATCAACAATCATTTTCTGATTCCCAGTTCTTAACGCCCTGACTTCATATTTGGCATTCGATAGTTGAGCTGTGATTATTATTCATTAGGGACTTTATTATTTTTGAAATAGGCAGGAACCTTGGTGGAAAAGTGTGTTCCTGTTGATTGATAATGATTCTCGTCAGTGCACCAGTCGGTCTTGTTTTTTATGATTGGTAGTTTCGTTACTCTGATAAACTCATAAACAGTGTGGATGCTAGTACATTACCCCGCAGTGTCGTAGATACACATGGTTTTCATTGTATTATGGAACGGTTAGCTCATGATCATGAAAAGTAGTATGTTCAGTACGTTCAAGTCGTATTAGGCCCTTAATCTACGGTTTTGTTTTGAGCTCGTAAACTTTAAGGAGTGTTTGGATTTGAAGAAATTATGTAAATATCCTATTAACTTTTCATATTTTTCGAATTCAGTCATATTTTAAAAATGATTTTTTTATTTATTTACTTTTTTTCATACACGTTCTAAAATACTTAGAAAAGCAGCTTGTGTCGGATAAAGTTGAACCATTCCATTGTTCCCCTGGACAAATTCATTTTATGACCCCTGTGGTCATACAGATCAGAGATAACTTTGGCAGATGTTATGTATATATGCGATGAATCAGTAAAAAAATCACAATCATGTTTAAACGATTTATAGACAGAAAATGTTGAAACTTTGAGAGTTTAATTATAATTCGGCCATTTTACGCTTGTGCTCCAAATGAAATTAAAGGTATTTTATTAAGATGTAAAGATATAATATGTTTTTATCCAAAATGTCAATGCCTCGAGGTATTCATTTTCTTATGTTTTGTTACAGAAAGTCAAAATGAGGTCTACAACAGCGATATGTCTGTAGACGAAGTTGATGGCACAGTTAGAATGAATGTAGTCACTGGTAAATGGTTACATGTAGCCCCTGAATATATCACATATATATCAAATTAATGTGCACAGTTTTGACCAATCAGTACCGGCTACGGCGCCATGTAGGAATCAGTGTATGAGCACACTATCGACTCTACAATGTATAACAGACCCCCTCTTATATGGTCACACTTAAAGAGGGAGCATACTCCATGATTTGTCGCTCATTTCCAGCATAGACGTCGGCTACATAGCCCATGTGCGAAACTTATTTTGTAATTCGGTTACTTATTAATTGTTAGACCATTATACATCATGTATAATGAGTTGGCAGACATAAAATGTTTCCAATGCATTCAAAGTCAGAATAGATATGTGATGTGCTATTTCCCTACCTCACAACAGCTTCTGGCGATGGATACAGTGACAGTGGAGTTAATGACCCGGCCCCAGAAAATAACCTCAGCATCCCTGGATCAGGCGGGAAATTGAACATTAACGTATATGACAAGTCGAAAAGTGCTTACAGTGATCCCGAGAGCGTCAACAAGTGGAGGGAGACTTCAATGAAAAGTGCGTCATATCATTTTAATTGAAAGTAACTATCTTATGAAAACTGAAATTGTACACAACGTCATGATGTGAACTACATGCAGTATATGGTTGTTTAAAAGAAGAATTCCCAATGTATTTATTGAACATCTTTCACATAAAATTTCGAATGTGTGACATTTTATATTTTCAAACGAAACTGACACTGTTGGATATTATATAACTCAAGTTTAGTGGTTGATATTGAATCTGCTATTAAGTATCTCAAAATAATATATACCAATGTTCTAAAATTATTATACAGTAACTATAGACCCATGGTCGCATGGGATGCATGTACTTATTCAGGATAGGAACCCTTCATCAGCAGTTCTTTAGACATGCAAGTATCGTATAATCGTGGGTTCGAATCCCAGATTTCAGGATTCTTGGTTTGTCAGCATCATACCCATGCAAGGACCTGCAGTAGACTCGCCCCCTGCTGCAAACTCCACTCACACATTAAGCTGGCGTGCCTTCACATGACCGTACAAAGCGGCGATAAAGCAAAACAACATTCAATTTCAATATCCACTGTGTATTGTAGCTCAGCCAGATCGGCATGATATCCGTGACGACGTGAGCACAGGGACTGGTTCAAGCTGCGAAGACAATACACTTTTGGAGTTCGATATAGATGAATTAAGTATGACTCCCGAAATGTTGGCTGCACGCGACAAGATTCAGAGCCTTGAGAACAGACCCTACCAGGATGAGTTGGTGAGGGCAGCTGCCGGCGGGGACAGCGTTATCATCGTAGCACCCACTGGCTGCGGCAAGACGGTGGTGGCCTTGAGAATAATGCAGGTAGGGTGTCTGTGTAAAATGCCTTCATAATTTCCCTCATAATGATATCTCATTTTACATACCTTGATAAATGAATTATTTGTTTTACTAATGAAACTTGACATCCATTATCCCCCGGGTGGGGTATCGGGTATCTTAGTAAGGTACCAAGGGGCACGAGACCTTCTGTTTTAGAGGTGGACTGCATTTGAAATATTTATCTCAAACTCGAAAGGTTGGTACTAAACCGAGAGAGCATATTTATGATGATAGACATCATGAGGGTTCAAACTTGACGATATACGGAAGGTTGGAATGGGGTTGCTTTCGTTTTGTGAATAATATAGACACCCTTCTGTTGAAGAAAGGCTTAAAACATACATACTTAGTTTCATTGTTATTCATTATCATATTTTTTTGCATTTGTACAAGGACGTGCAAATTTATGTGAAATTCAAATATCCCTGAAGACATTTCTTGTCTTTCTCTATGTTCCTTCCTTTTCGAAGTAGTGTGTATCCCATGTTTTATTCTCTCATATGCCCTGGGTTATTGCAGGAACATCTAACTAAAATGAAAGGAAAAGGGTTGCCCAGCAAAATTGCATTTTTCGCCAATGAGGTGACCTTAGTAGACCAGCAGCATGAGTTATGCCAAGGTCATCTTGATTCCCGGTACAAAACTACGAAGATTGTTGGAGAAACAAAATACACGAGTGCGGTCACCACCAAGGAGCTGTTAGCGCAGTAGGTATCTCTCATTGGTCTTTGATGTGATGGGTTCGAAGCCCAGATTCATTCTGAATATGATCCCTTGTCAGCTCCTTATCAGTTCTCATAATAAGTGACATAAGTAAATATATCACAAGTACACGTGGTTACCTACGATTTCAACTAATATATTGTGTAGTTTTAGTGACGCTATTCAGATCTGGAATTGAGATTTTGAGAAATATTTTGGATTGATCTCTTGGTATATATGAAGTAGAGTTCTAAAAATAGTTTATATACCACTGATAGATCGAGCTCTTAATATAGATGTGGTTTACTGACATCTTAGATAGATGCCGCGGAATGTGCTATCTAAATAAAGCTTTTAAGGTCGATGGAGTTCTAAAACCATTGGAAGTGAATGTAAAGTTTTAGTTATATTTAGTAGTTTGATTGACAAAGATGCGGATGATTGAGCTCATAAAAAACTTGCGCTGCTTAACCGTCTCTAACGGACGTGTATCAGTACAGTGGTTTGATCGTCAAGTTTAGGAGATAACGCTCTTGGTTAATCTAAGATTAGATCATAGACTGTTGCCTGGGACGTCGTTACCACAATAGATTGAGCTTATGTCATCCTTAATAGTCGGAAAGCGTTCATATTTCTACATTTTCCCAGAATATACATGTAGGTAACATATACTATTCGTCTCACGTGATAATAATAATGTCGAAATACCCTCGCCAGAAACTATTCACTCTGTATCTTCTTTGTAGAAGTGACCTGCTTGTTATGACGCCGCAGATCATCGTTGATGCCCTGGAGAACAAGACCCTGGAATCTCTCTGTGTCTTCAGCCTCATCATCTTCGACGAGTGTCATCACATCCGTGAGAAACACCCAACAAACAAAATAATGATTCATTACATGGGAATGAAACAGTCCTCTGACACAAATATGAAGCTACCACAGGTAATTCATCTTATTAATACTATTTTTAGATTGTATGAGTGTTTGGGTTCGATTCCCCACATGGGTTCAGTGAGTTTCGTTAGTGGCCCCCGCAGTGCCATATCTGGAATATTGAAGTAGCAGTATTAATAATTTTTGTCACTTAATTAAGACGCCGTATTTTGGCTGTGCAAATTTGCCTCCCTTAGGCTTGCAGTTAACCTATGATCGTGGATTCGAATTCTGATTCCCACAATATGTTTCTACGTTAGTGGTAAAAGCAGCATCACTTTGGGCTTTCCTCCAACATCAAGCTGTTCAAGGCAGTGTTGAAGCAACGCACATATGTCCAATCTGTGGAAAATACAATATCAAGTTGATGACATCCGGTGGGAATCCCCGTGCTATCCCATAAATCATTTGTGCATCATGACACAACGAGAATAAAGTGTCGACTGACGGTTTTCGGAAATGTATGGATGAAATGTTAGTCGCGTTTTAGATTCAACAAATTGGAAATTGGAAAAAACATGATGCTGAAAGCAGTTATCCCAGCTGCTGAGATCGGTGCACAAAACAACCATAGACTGTCTATGTTAAGGTATGCTAAGATCACTGTTTGCAACGGCACCGTGGACAGCATCTGTCCTCCGTCGACATGAACGTTTCCTAAGGCACAAGTGATATTTGGTCCAAAAGAAAGCTCTCCTTATTCCTGCAGGTCGTGGGCCTCACAGCATCGGTCGGGGTGGGGAAGATGAAGGAGGGTGATGGAGCTAAAGGTGCTCTGGCACACATCATACATCTGTGTGCAAACATGGATGCCAAGGGAGGGATCGTTACTGTTCGAGAACACACAGAAAGCCTTGCAGAGTATGCGAATCATGTGGAGAGTGGTATGATCCTTTCAAGTGACATATTGAATATTACGAACAACGGATGAGGTTAGTCAAGGATGAACGCAGTTGAAATAGATGTTTCAGAATCCGGAATCCAACCGATAAGGTGGTTTTCATATATTTTGGTAGATATTAATGGTAAAGTTGAATACCTAATGTTCATGTGTCAAGTTCTCATACCACCCAGGGGCGGTCGGCTTGCCTAGTGGTTAAAGCATTCGCTCGTCACGCCGAAGACCCGGGTTCGATTCCCAACATGGGTACGATGTGTGAAGCCCATTTCTGGTGTCACCCGCCGGGATATTGCTGGAATAGTGCTAAAAGCGGCGTAAAACCACTCACTCACTCACTCTCATACCACCTTTCATATTGTCGATTTATTATTCTTTCTCTTTCAGCGATTGAAATGGCAAAGGAAAGGACATCTGACCAATTTAAAGACTGCATAGTTGCGAAAATCATGGGACCCATTGAGGAAAGAATTATAGAAGAACACGGCAAATGTAAGCCTGTATAAACATTCTTATTTCTATCACACCCATTGCTCAATGAGGGCACAATCGTGTTTCTTGGCAGCAAATGACATTGAATGATCGAACTACTCCATATACCACTTGTAACTTGCTCTACTGTGTTTGGTAACGATTATAACACAAAGTTCAAGGAAGTTTCCAAATAACAATTTTTGAATGTCATTATAATCGTTTTTTCAAAGGGGGTATCATGGATTATTGTCAAGAAATAATGTCTCCCGTGCTTCTTGATCCAAGCCGTGGATGGTGGAGTACTTTTGAAAGCATTGGCTCGGATTACACTCCCACTTTACAATGTGTAAAGGCGAGTGTGCCCCCCGTCTAAAACCATGTTGTAGAATCAAATCTTTGTTACATTAACGTCACGCACTTTTCTGTTGCATTAGCGACTGATAAACTGAATCACATCAAGAACATAGCCAAGGAGGTAATCCCGTGCCTGGCGAAGGGAACATGCTGGTACACACAGTGGCTCGGCAAGCTGTACAGTGACAAGTTCCTCAGGATAAAGGATCCGACGCTTAGAAGGTTCTTCTTGACGTGTGTAAAACACCTCAGTGTAAGTACAAATGTCATGTAAGCATGTTATTGGACATTTTTGCAACCATACGTAAACTGATGAGAAGCCTATTTTTTTTTTTTTGTACATTGTTTATGTTCATTTACACCTTTTTTTCATAATATACCTGTAAAGACATGAAAAAAATGGCATAACCAGCTGTTTGTTGGTACTCGAATAAATGACTAAATGTTCGCAGGTCTATAACAAAGCACTGACCCTCAACGTGGATTGCCGTGCACACGATGCCATGAACTATGTTGTGACTCAAATGAGCACCATATATCCTGCGAGGCAGTTTAGAACATCCACTGACGATTGGCTCTTCTCGCTGTATACTGGTAACTACATGCGTGTTGAGAACAATAAAATGATATGGACACTTCTGGCTTGTTTAAATAAACATATATTCTTAAAAGACAATAGAATTGTGATTGACTTCCACAACCCAGATGCCCCATTCTTGTGTATACGTATGTGTTAAATATTTTACATCAAAGACCTGCACCACGCCGGGCTGATACGCCGTGGTGTATCTGAAATATTGTTCAAAGCGACGTTCCCATGTATCAGACACCGATCAAAGTTGAACTTCTAATGTAATGACATGTTGAAGACTCGGTCTTACAGTCGTAGCGTTAAGATCGCTTTGTGAAACATACATGTACGCTTTACTTTTACCGGACCTTGCTCCATTAACTTTACCATAACATTAAATCTGTGTGCAGATAACCGTGAGAAGCTAAAAGCCGAATCTGCACCTGATAGTAACGTGAACCCTAAGCTGATAGTGCTTAGATCCCTTATGGTGGATCAGATCAAGAAGAAGAAGGACTCTAGAATCCTTGTCCTTGTGAAAACACGTGACCTAGCACGAGCACTAGTGCAATGGATGTCGGAAGATCCTGGAATGAGAAAGTTGTCTCCCGTTGTTGTCACTGGATGTGGAGCCACAACGGACCAAGGAGGTATAACAAGTAAATTCGTTGATCAGATGAAGTGCTTTGTAAATTAAAAGAGTGTATGTTTGTGTATCTGTATTGTATACGAATATAAATCGTTTTGTTACCAGGCATGACACGCAATCAGCAGTTGGAGGCTGTGAGGAATTTCAAGTGGGGCACGAGTCGTATTGCAGTAGCTACATCAGTGGCAGAGGAGGGGATGGATGTTGCGAAGTGTAGCAGGGTCATCAGATACGAGTATGTGTCAAACGAGATAGGAATGATACAGGCAAGAGGTAAGTTCCGTTTTCTGCACATATCATAACAATGTTTCTTTCTTTGATCAGGAAATCGCTGATCTTGTTGCCCGTATGATTTGTAACTTCAGCTATCTTTGGATGGCGTTTGCCTAGTTTTTGTTCAAACAGCCAACAAGCAAGGTAATATCAAGATTGTGTTAACTGCACATATCTATGTGCGATTTAAGGAGTATGTGGCATGGTAGTGTCTATCACTAGAATAATAATTACCACGGTTGTGTCCTTTAGCCATGCAAACACCAGCTTATCGTAAGATCAAACCCTGGTGTGGGTTTGGAGGACATGAGGAATCTCTTCATCGAATTTATTCTGGTTGATAGTCACATTTAAGGCAGAGGATTTAGACTCACCTCTCTACCAGATGAATTTTCTAACTTTTTCGTATGTCACTCTGGGGTAACATGGGGATGCCGAAGTAAAGTAACAATTTGCCGAAATGGCAGTAAACTATGAAATTATGGTAAGTTTGAAGGAGAGAACTCAAACCTTGAGATTTGGGTGTGCAGTTATCTTCATCGGGATCGTGGCTTTTAACCCAAAGAACTTCAGCAAAGCACGCATTGAAGATATTTCAGATAATAGAGCAATCATTGAGTAAATTATCTACTTTCCCAGATGATATTTGTTTTCACATATTGCAAAAGTTTAACCTGTTATGACTTTCGGTGCTGATATATGGAGGTTTCAAGATTTCACAGATATAGACAATAGCTCCTGCAAACTTGTCTTTTCTCTCAAAAGAACTGAAAGCATCTTTTCTGCTATATCATATGTTCTAACAAGTGATTGTATCGGGATGAGTGTGTTCATGGCTTGTTCAGCCATCACTGTAAAGTTTTGTTCCATATAAGTTATACGTGGTATCATGAATCCAAGGTATTCTCTTAAAAAAAGAAACTTGACACAGACGTAAAACAACTTTTCTCAAAATATCCAAAATCATTAAATGAAATGTGATTAGAACTAGTCAAACTGAAGGATGATGTTTACATATTTCACGGAAAAACATAGAAACCACATAAACGTAGCGTTTGGGGATCAATTTTACAAATTCATCCAAACGCAACCGGCTGAAAAAAACCGTGCAGCACAGGATCCTTCATTTATGCATGGGGTATAAAAAAAACATCAACGGGCATTCATACAGACTTCATAACGACAGTAAACGCGGTGACAGAATGCCAAGACTGATAACAGCTCCACGTCACAACGCCATTGCCAGATTACAAGGTGGAGCTACTTAGCAAGATGTGGCCAGGCACCTTGGCGTATCCCGACGGGCAATCTCCGAATAATGGACCCAGTGCAACAACACCAATAGAGTTGGTCACGGTGACCAAGGGTGACAATGCCAGTACAAGATCGATACATCCGGCTGCGAATGAGAACACCAATGAGAACACACTATCACAGCAACGTCTACAACCACACAGATCCCTGGGCTTTGCAGAATTTCAGATCAAACAGTACACAACAGATTGAGGAAGGGCGGACTCTTTGCATGAAGACCTGTTCGACGTCATGTATTGGCCCCACGTCATCTGGCAGACCGTCTGCATCGGTGTCAACAGAGGGTGAGATGGGCACGTGCAAGATGGAGAAATGTGCGGGATGAGTCCCGTTTTCTACTCACACGTGCTTATGGGCGCACACGTGTCGACAGACGTCTGGGTGAACGTTACGCCCGCAACTGTGCAGCGGGTTGTCCCATTTGGCGGCGGGAGTGTCATGGTATGATCCGGAATTCATCACGGTGGTAGGACCCCTCTCGTGCATGTGACAGGTACATTGACAGGCGTGCGTTACAGAGCATTGATCCTACAGCCTTACGTTCTGCCTCACTTCAACATCCACGGTGGGCAAGACAATGCTTGACCGCTTATTGCAAGTGTTTGTCAGGACTTTTTACAACACAACAACATCCAGACATTACCTTGGCCAGCGCGGTCACCAGATTTGTCTCTGATTGAGCATCTATGAGACGAGTTGGATCGACGCGTGCACAGAAGGAGTCCACCACCCCAAACACTTCCGACGCTTCTTGTGGCACTTCAGCATGAATGACAGCACATTCTACAGCATGTTATTCACAACTTGATTGCATCTATGGGTCGTCGGTGTCAAGCGGTAATTGAAGCCCGTGGTGGTCACTACCGAAACTGACATTTCCTGTACCCCTGTGACATAAACTCTATTGTGTACGTACGTCTGTCTGTGCGACACGAATAGTGTTTTGAACATTGTGTACATTGATCCTCAAACGGTTTTTCAATTATGGTTTCTGTGTCCTATTTTCAAACATAGTTTTTACCTTAAATTTTGAAAGACTATGTCAGGTTGTTTTTTTTAAGAGTATATCTATCCAAAAGGGGACAACACAACATGTTAATCATGTCACATACTCTCTTAAAATCTAAGAAAGCGCAGTAAAAATTCACTCCGACCAGTGTTTGAAATATAAAAAGGTTTGGCGCCCATCAAGACCCGCATACTTTAGAAGCTGCAGGACATGCTCATACTCCTAAACATACAGCTTATTGAGACAAATAAATCGACATGTAAATTTAGTGCAGGACATAAGTACCCATATAAATTTGAAACTACGGGCTCGACACGAGAGATCTACCTGTCACGTGCCAATGGGCAGGCACTTATTTCGATCACTGCCTACGAATTAATTATGTGTTTTTGAATAATAGCTTCTAATTGATGAGATTAAGTATCTGTTAAAGACTTTTGTTCCCTAAAATACGCGCACCCTGGTTTTCCTTAATAATATCAGAATTCTACATTGTTTGCATAGAAGTAAATATTTTTCGTATTGTATTCAGTAGTGAAATACCCCAGTGTACGTAGCAGCCAGGTTCATTGTTGTTCTTTGTCGTATGTAACGGTACAATAATAACACTACACCAAGCATGTTGAACATGGACTTTATGTAATATTTGTGTAAACAACAAAGCGAGGTGTGATGAAGTTGATCCTTAATATTGATAAGATCCATGCCAGTAATTTTGGGTTTCACAAAAGTGGTACACGTCGAACGCCTTCATCACTTTGGGCTTTCGTCTATTAAAAGCTAATATGCACACAAACATAAACATTGCTTTCCGGAAATATGTAAGTTATTTTCAAAGCTACGCTCATTCAAAGTCCCAAACACACTTCTTTTATTCCTCCACAGGAAGAGCATCACGTGTTCCAGATGGAACATACGTCACACTCACCAGCAAAGACGACGTTGCAAAGAAGGAACAGAGCAACATGCGTCTGGAATCGGTCATGAATGAAGCAGTGAATATTCTACAGAAACAAATTCAGGAAGATCCGGTAGCATTTGGTGAACAAATTGAAATGTTCCAGAAAGAGGACAAGGTGTCCAGGGAAACAGAAAGAACCAAAGAAGCACAGCAGCCTTTCACTGACGAGGTATATAGCCTTCATTGTTATAATTGCGATGTATTTGCCTTCTTGTCAAGCGATATCAGAGTGGTTGCAAATTCCCATCGCCTTGTTATAACTCCAAATGTCTTGAACATAGTTGACGAACAGACACCTGAAAGTAAGGATGCATTTGATCATATGCAGAAAGTTAGTGCTGTTCATTGTAAACGATGTCAAGCTAGATGGGGCAGCGGTGTGATGTACAAGGAGGCCAGGTTTGTGTGCATATCGATCATCAACTTCCTGACGTACAATTCCAGCAAAAGATCCTATCGCTTTAATAAGTGGAGAAAAGTCCATTTCCAGTGTCCCGACTTAACGGATGAGGATGTTACTCAATACAAAACCCAGATGGTAGGTTAATTTGGAAGGGTGATGCAGGATGAATTTGTTATTTCATCATGACAGTGTATTTCATAATTGAAAGTAACTTTCTTGTAAAATATGTTGACTTTATTTTCAACTTCCTGCCGCAAAAGACCTGGGTACTAGCCAAAAGCTATGTCAGATACATTTTTTTGTTCCATTTAAAAGGGCAGAATTTGCATAACATTATTTCCAAATATGCGATGAACTCGGAACCCGGGGGATCATGTGTAGAAATATCCGTTATTCAGGAGTAGTATAGTACCAAAGTGATAATAACTCTTATTGGACCCAATCTTTATTCCATTTAACACTGTAATGACAAGTTAAAATGTGTATATCATTGACAATAGAGTATGTGATGACAATTGACTATTAGTTGTGTCAGTGGTATTTATTATTATGGGTTAATTACATCTAACCACTGTTCTATGTTTTTTACAGTTTTGTTACATCATATGATTTTAAAGAATAGTTAAGCTATTTGTAAAGTGTATACGTAGACGTTTCCAGGCAAACTTTATCATGTGTACTTCATTCCAATGTCTTAATGAGTGGTTATTTACATTTTGTTTGCACTTTATGTAATGTAAGTGCTATTCGGTTGGAAGGAGTGCTTTTAAGTGATGATTTCGTGGACTAGACATACATTGTCTTTTATAGGGTTCGCCCTTGCTTGAACGTTTTTTATAGATGGGTTTCAAATATTAATCTTCTTTGAAAATATATTCTCTTTTTTTTATATGAGATATAATATTCAGTCCATTTCCAGTGTCCGAACTTAACGGATGAGGATGTTACTCAAAACAAACCCTAGATGGTAGGTTAATTTGGAAGGGTGATGCAGGATGAATTTGTTATTTCATCATGACAGTTTATTTCCTAATTGAAAGAAACTTTCTTGTAAAATATGTTGACTTTATTTTCAACTTCCTATCGCAAAAGACATGGGTCCTAGCCAAAAGCTATGTCAGATACATTTTTGTTCCTTTTAAAAGGGCAGAATTTGCATAACATTATTTCCAAATATGCGATGAACTCGGAACCTGGGGGATCTTTGTGTAGAAATATCCGTTGTTCAGGAGTAGTATAGTACCAAAGTGATAATAACTCTTATTGGACCCCATCTTTATTCCATTTAACACTGTAATGACAAGTTAAAATGTGTATATTATTGACAAAAGAGTATGTGATGACAATTGACTATTAGTTGTGTCAATGGTATTTGTTATTATGGGTTAATTACATCTAACCACTGTTCTATGTTATTGCAGTTTTGTTACATCATATGATTTTAAAGAATAGTTTAGCTATTTGTAAAGTGTATACGTAGACGTTTCCAGGCAAACTTTATCATGTGTACTTCATTCCAATGTCTTAATGAGTGGTTATTTACATTTTGTTTGCACTTTATGTAATGTAAGTGTTATTCGGTTGGAAGGAGTGCTTTTAAGTGATGATTTCGTGGACTAGACATACATTGTCTTTTATAGGGTTCGCCCTTGCTTGAACGTTTTTTATAGATGGGTTTCAAATATAAATCTTCTTTGAAAATATATTCTCTTTTTTTATATGAGATATAATATTCAGTCCATTTCCAGTGTCCGGACTTAACGGATGAGGATGTTACTCAATACAAACCCTGGATGGTTGGTTAATTTGGAAGGGTGATGCAGGATGAATTTGTTTTTTCATCATGACAGTGTGTTTCATAATTGAAAGAAACTTTCTTGCAAAATATGTTGACTTTATTTCCAACTTCCTGTCGCAATAGACCTGGGTACTAGCCAAAAGCTATGTCAGATACATTTTTGTTCCATTTAAAAGGGCAGAATTTGCATTACATTTTTTCCAAATATGCGATGAACTCGGAACCCAGGGGATCATGTGTAGAAATATCCGTTGTTCAGGAGTAGTATAGTACCAAAGTGATAATAACTCTTATAGGACCCCATCTTTATTCCATTTAACACTGTAATGACAAGTTAAAATCTAAATATCATTGACAATAGAGTATGTGATGACAATTGACTATTAGTTGTGTCAATGGTATTTATTATTATGGGTTAATTACATCTAACCACTGTTCTATGTTATTGCAGTTTTGTAACATCATATGATTTTACAAAATAGTTTAGCTATTTGTAAAGTGTATACGTAGACGTTTCCAGGCAAACTTTATCATGTGTACTTCATTCCAATGTCTTAATGAGTGGTTATTTACATTTTGTTTCCACTTTATGTAATGTAAGTGTTATTCGGTTGGAAGGAGTGCTTTTAAGTGATGATTTCGTGGACTAGACATACATTGTCTTTTATAGGGTTCGCCCTTGCTTGAACGTTTTTTATAGATGGGTTTCAAATATAAATCTTCTTTGAAAATATATTCTCTTTTTTTATATGAGATATAATATTCAGTCCATTTCCAGTGTCCGAACGTAACGGATGAGGATGTTACTCAATACAAACCCTAGATGGTAGGTTAATTTGGAAGGGTGATGCAGGATGAATTTGTTATTTCATCATGACAGTGTGTTTCCTAATTGAAAGAAACTTTCTTGTAAAATGTGTTGACTTTATTTTCAATTTCCTGTCGCAAAAGACCTGGGTACTAGCCAAAAGCTATGTCAGATACATTTTTGTTCCTTTTAAAAGGGCAGAATTTGCATTACATTATTTCCAAATATGCGAAATCGGAACCCGGGGGATCATGTGTAGAAATATCCGTTGTTCAGGAGTAGTATAGTACCAAAGTGATAATAACTCTTATAGGACCCCATCTTTATTCCATTTAACACTGTAATGACAAGTTAAAATCTAAATATCATTGACAATAGAGTATGTGATGACAATTGACTATTAGTTGTGTCAATGGTATTTATTATTATGGGTTAATTACATCTAACCACTGTTCTATGTTTTTTACATTTTTGTTACATTATATGATTTTTAAAAATAGTTTAGCTATTTGTAAAGTGTATACGTAGACGTTTCCAGGCAAACTTTATCATGTGTACTTCATTACAATGTCTTAATGAGTGGTTATTGACATTTTGTTTCCACTTTATGTAATGTAAGTGCTATTCGGTTGGAAGGAGCGGTCTTAAGTGATGATTTCGTGGACTAGATATAAATTGTCTTTCACAGGGTTCGCCCTTGCTTGAACGTTTTTTATAGATGGGTTCCAAATATAAATCTTCTTTGAAAATATATTCTCTTTTTTTTAATTTTTTTTATATGAGATATAATATTCAGGCCATTGGGGTATATGTATGTTAATGCTATGAGTGCGGTTCTGTTAAACTGCCGGCATATAAAGTGTGCACTTAACATTTGATTTGTCCAAAACTTTACAACCGTTATCAAAACGTTACTCTGATGAAAACATTCGCCGAAACACTGCGAACTTAAGGTTCACCGGGAACGGTATATCAGATATTGAGTTGATCTATCTTTTAAACCAACATTTTGTTATCAATGTGTTACTGCGATACTGTGTACGAGAGTGAGTGAATATAGTTTTACGCCGCTTTTAGTAGTAGTCGAGCAATATCACGGTGGGGGACACTAGAAACGTGCTTCACACATTGTACCAATCCGGGGAATCGAACCCGGGTCTTTGATGTGACCATCGAACGCTTTAACCAGTAGGCTTCCCCCACTGTATACACTGAAACTGTATACAATTTCCGTACCTTCAGACATACCTCAATGTGGCAGTACAATTCTGTGCAACTTATGGCCCAGTGGTCTTAGGCGCCGCAATTCGTTGTGCAGAGTTTCGCTATCTTGACACTCATCGTTGGTTCGAAACCCAGATTTTCACTGATGTTTCTTTGGATCCGTCAGACCTATGCCTGTGTTCGTGGGTTTCACCAGAGTGGTACACATCAAAGATCTACAACACTTTTGGATTTCCTTCTGCATCAAGCTGCCACGTACGTCGTGATTTAACTGAAACACTATTTAAGGAGGTGTTAAAGTGAACACACTTTACTGCTTTTAAAATATATTTATTTATGCAATTATAACATTATTGATGTGTGATTGTGAAGTATGAGGATTTAGAGAAGTGGATGGTTGAAAAGTGTACACTGAGTTGGACAGTCGCGCCATGAGGTATGAGATATGGATGTTTCTTCCATGTCAAAATAACATCAACAAGTGTTAAAAAAACTCCAAACTATTTGTCTCTGTGTAAAAGTCTGTGTTATCGTCTTAATTCTGTCAGCTTCATGGCCGTGCCTGTGGTTTTCAAGAAAGTGGTAGATCTTCGTCCCTTTGGACTCTCCTCCGATATCCCGTCGACACACCACGATATAGCTGAAATACTGTTCCCATTCACCCTCTCACCCATCAACTATCGCATAATGTCTACAAAGAGATACATGTGTTTGCCTCAAACATAAATCGTTTCCGCTGATGAGTGTAACTAGAGTTGCACTGTTCCTGATACCATTACCAAGTAAGTATTAACTATAACGAACGTCACATCACTTGTAATTCTATGGAAGCTTAGTTAAGATATGGAGTGTCTAGATTGAAAGAAGCCATTATGGTTTTGAGGTGATGAGGTGAAATTGGGTTTAACGTCGCGTCCAAGATTATTGCACTTATATGGCGACGTTCATGCACGAGTGTGTGTGTGTGGCTGCTTGTACTGGTCCGGACTGATGCCGATTTATAGTGCTAGCTCACTGAGATACCATGCCGCTGTTTCACATGAATACCCAGCTCAGACACAGTATACTGACTCTGAGCCGACCAGTCCTTGTTTTAGCCCCTTAATGACGAGCGCCAGACAGGGTAACAACAAGTACTTTCTTTTAACGTCTTTTGGTATGACGCGTCCGGTGATCGAACCCCGGACCGAAAGCCTGCCATTCTGGTTTGTATGGCCAAGAGTTGAATATATACAGGCCGCTTTGATATGCCTTGAATATTGCTGAACGTGTCGGAGAACCATACACACACATCAAACAATAACTCGTTTGCCGCAATACGACTGACAAATACAGAAAACATGAAAGTATTCAGCCAAATGTGATCGCGACAGCGCGGCGATGTGCAATATACGACAGGTGTCACAAGGACACACAATTGTAGCCATGCAGGACTAGTAGGCCACATGTCTGAAGTACATGTACATGGAACAACTCATCACTTTAGATACGTCAAAGGGATAATTAGTTTGCGATCAGCAGAAGGCCAGCTTGATATACATGTAATACAATGATATATCAACTCTAACTAGTGACGACTGGTATATGCATTTATTGTCCAGAGTTTGGGCAACTTCTCCACCTAACGATGTTTCTTGTAGTTTAAGTCATAACCATTAGCACAAGAATCTCTGCACAGGCGTAATGTTCTAATTCTGATGAAATCCGCTAAAGTAAACAGTTTACGTTCAGTGTTGTATGTTGTTATTCACGTTAACAAACATATTAGTTGCAACAGCCTGTTAAGCGACAAACATACCTCTGTCTGCTATTGGGAAGATCTTAGGGCACACCTGCAATCATTAATATTGCATTACGGCTTAGACAAAAAGATTAACATGCAAAAATATATGTCTTAATGACATGATACATTCAATGGTGCCGGTTCCCGTCTCGAAATCGTTTGTGTGCGTCAAGCAAATAAAAAAGAAAATGATAGTTATCAAAGGCTTCCAGCGTCCAGTACTTATGGCAATCTCTAGCTACCGATAGATTTCGTAGGTGAAGAATGTTATAAAAGATGCATTATAAAAAAATTATGTGTTGAGCAGAAAGTAAACGCCAATTTGCCAGTCATCAATGTAGTAACAAATTCGCATACATTGCATAAAATGACGACATAAGTAATATATATCCTGTGAACAAATTATGTGAGATATTTAAGTTAAGATAAAAACAAAAAAATAGCAAAACAAGAAAAGAACTTTCCTTTCTAGTGAGTACAGACGCGACAACGAGTTGTAAATACAAATGTTCCTTTAGATAATATAGTGGATAGGAATAAAAACAATGCAGTGGAATGAACATTGGCAACGGCACCGTTGGAAGTGCTGCCCTGCCTGTACAAGTACGACACAATCCCCAATCCATCATGGCGCCCGAAACAAATGCTTGCATCGCGTCATAGTCGGGGCCCTTTATCACGCAAACAAACATTTCAGAATGCAAGTTTATTCGATCAAGACGCCAGCGAAATCATTTCGTTGAACTCGTCTGTTGTAGGTACATGTTACCTAGTACACATTGCATACGCATATCATATACGTATTCATACAGCTATGTTTACTGAGGACACATCACGTTTCAAATCTCTTTATGCTGAATTCTGGCTTGATTTGACTAAATGGATTGAAGGTCAGGCTTGATGACTTCCTCGACTGCCACATCGTACCTCGACGTCTTTGCTGATCATATCAACCAATGTGTGTCTTTCCCAGATTCGATTATTTACAAGCCGCCGTCTAAAAATGCTGCTTAAAAATATACACAGAGGTCATGTCCCTTTAGTGTTTGTTTTGTTTATTTGTTGCTTAGCGTCGCACTTATCAATAATCCAACTATATGGCGGCGGTCTGTAAATAATCGTGTCTGGACCTAACCGTCCAGTGATTGGTTTCATGAGCATCGATCCACGCAATCGGGATACGTTGACCTGCATCAACCAAGTCAGCGAGCATGACCACCCAATCCTCTTATTAGCCTCTTAATTACAAGTATAGTCGTCCCTTGCAGCAAGCCTGGTTTGCTGAAGACCTTTACTAACACTTTTCTATCTACAGTAACTTATTTTATTCTTTGTACGACGCAAGAAGGAACCTGAAACGTCGTAATCAATAAAATAGTGTCATGTGTTCACGTTCTCCCAACTTTAAAATGCCTATCACAGACTTTATTCTAACCCGGATATTCAAGGGTCTCATGTCCTTTGTATTATTATTCGTGCTGTCTTCTGTACATGTATATGCCTATACCTAGACATCCTGCATTTAAAGAGCTACATTTGTTCTATGAAGTCACGTACACTGTGAATGAGCGGATCATGGACAAAGCTATACCTCCTATACACAGCTATTTGAAACAAAACAAAAAACAGAGCACGAAATCATATATCACAGGAATGTGTTTTATACTATACATGCATGAGATAGAACAGCATCCTTTTGATATCCAGGTACAGCTGGCAACTTAAACATTCACACATGTCGCATATTTTATTTTTTTCTGATTTACAGGTTTTATGTTGTCACTCATTACAATGTAAATCGTATTTTACTGAAAAACATTAAACATGGCACACCTTGGGAATCAATTGTCTTACACAGGTTAAATGTTCAGTGACCATCATCGACGAACACTAGTCAAATGGGAAGCCTGACCTGTCTGTACGGTACAATTCTGATAATATTTATTTTTACACCTCCATTTTCACACACTGACAGTCCGCTTCCTGTTGGGCTATAAATAGCTGTAATCCCCTCTAATCTGGCTGCGCAGTTGTGACGTTATTTATCGTTGATGATTTCTTTCATCGCCCCCACATTGTTGTGGAGGTGTTGGAGAACGTGTCGAGTGTGCTGCTGTGATAGGAGGTGATCTGTTGGCGATGACATTGATGTAGTGCTTCCTTGCTCCTCTCGTGTTGCTACCGCTCACTCTCGTTAGGGCTTTGAAAGTGCACTAAATATCCTATAGGAGAATCGTGTTCATTTGTAAAAACATAAAGACAAATATGATAATGAAATATGTCAGAACAAAATTATGTTATCTCTGCATAATGGCTTCCCTCCCATAGTTACCCAGTGCCAGTAGCCACACAGAGGATATGGTGATCAAGGGAGACCATATATACCAACTGTTGTTATGGAGTAATCCAATTTACTTCTCATTAGGAGTCGGTGCTGACAGCTTGAGTCACAGTTTAGACAGGGAGAAGAGGAAAAACGCATTAAACGGCTAAACGACCTTCAACTGGGGACAAAGACACCAATGCAGTACCAGGATGTTATTGATCATCTGCTGAAAAATGTTGTATGTAACTATTGATTACTATTTGAGATAATGTAATATTATTTAATGTTGAATAGTAGAACACATGGTGTACAAGAATGTTTTATGTCCCTGTATGTCAATATTTAAGATAATATAAAGGTAAAAAACAATTAGTACACGTATAAATATGAACTTCACAAGTTAGTGTTTACTCTACTT